TTTTTAATAGATGATTTTATTTTGCTAAAGTAATTATTAATTGTTCACTTATTATTACAATTAACATAACAATATATATAAAGGGCCTTGGCAGAAATATGATTGCTTACTATATACTAATTGTTATTTTGAAATGTAATTATATTAATTTATGTATTCTTGAATTTATTTCTATAACTTGTTTTTCTATGTTTTTATTGTATCTATGTTAAGATTCAAACTTGACTATTTCCACATCTCATGGAACTTGTTTCTGTATGGATTTATGGAAATGAAATAAATGAATGAATGAATGAATGAAAGAGAGAGAGACCATTCTCCAGGCTGTGACACAGTCAACAGGGTTTACAGTGGATTGCACTACACAATAACAATGAGGAAATGTTGGTTCTTAGGTTCTCAAGACAATGGCAATGAAGAATACAATCTTCAAGGTTGTAACATGGTGAACTTCGGAGACAGCCTGGCATTTAAAACGGATGTATCACCTCCATCTTCAGGGTCAAGCAAAATACCTGCAGAAGCAGGCAACAAACTGAACTCAGTTTGCATTATGTTCCTCCAACACGTAATGCTCTTTGGCGTTAGAGAAGCAGGCAAGCAAGTGCAGCTCAGCTTGCCACCTGCTTGGTTTACTCTTCAGCCCTGAAGATGGAAGTGTTATACTCCTCTGAAACATCAAGCTCCCTATGACCTACATGGCATTACAACCCAGAAGACCACAATCTTCAGTGAGGAAAGGCTTCACACTGACACACTGAGTGATATATATCTGCAACTTGTGGGTATACCCCACATCAATCCTGACAATGGAGAGACAGCTTGTTATTGAAATGGTGGTTTTCTGCACAACACTGAAATGGCTGAATGCCTAAGAGTAGTTTTGTCAATATTTGTTTCCTGATCACATAATTTTATTTTCCTGCGTTTTTTTTAACTTGACTGAGAACAAACATTTGTACTGCAAGTGTGTAAACAGGAAGCTCAAGTATGTGGACAGTACTTTAATGGACATCTGAAAGTAGCCTTCCTTCTGCTGCATCAAGCATTGGGGCACAGTCCTGTTCTGCAGAAGAAGTGATGGAGTAAATGGAAAAGAAAGAAAAGTACAAATATGTCCTACTAAGTAACAAAGGTAGTGTAAAAATGTAATGTAAACTTCTGGCTTACAATCTGGAATAAAAATAAATACATGCAATATAAATTGTATATCTAGAAGCACCCACACCAAATGGAAACAATTTTCAAATTCCTTGGCATTCCACTGCAAAAAACTCTTACTCTAATTAAACATTTTCACCCTTTCTTTTAGTCCTCTCCTGCAACAAAATCCTATCACATTATATAGAATGTAACAGGCAAATATCTCCCAGTCTTGGTCAAATCAATAATAAGTTACAAAATGTTTTCATAACATTAACAGTTGTTATCTAAAAAACTGCTGGACCTGCCAAAATGCATAAAGTACACATTAACAAAATAGGGGCACGCGGTAGCGTAGTTGGTTGAGGGGCTATGCTACAAGCCGGAAGGTCGCGGGTTCAAGTCCCGATGAAGTCATTAGATTTTTTCAATTGACCTAATCCTTCCAGCCGCACTAGTCCCTGGGGTTTACTCAGCCTCTAACAGAATTGAGTACCAGGAATTAATTAAATAATTTTCCTGGCAAGTAAAGCGCGGCCTGCCGTCTTTGAGTCGACTGTCTAGATAATGTGGGACCCTCAACCCTATGGGCCCTCACGGCCTGTTACAGGGACAGCTTTATTTTTTTTTACTTTACATATTAACAAAATAATAAAAGGTAAAGCTGTCTCTTTAACAGGCCGAGAAGGTACATTGGGGTGCAAGAGGTCAAGGCTCCCATATCTTCTAGACAGGCAGCTCATTGATCGCAGTGAGGTTGTCAGCCTTACGCTCTGGCCGCCCTTTACCACCAGGAAAATTCCTGGTACTCTTTTCTGTTAGAGGTTGAGTCGACCCCAAGGCCATAATGCAGCTGGAAGGATTAGGTCCATTGAGAAATCCAATGACCTCATTGGGATTCGATCCCATGACCCTCCAGCTTGTAACACAGTGCCTCAACCAACTATGCTACCATATGCCCTCATTGCCAAAACATTACAGCCATTTCATCAACAACAAAGAAATCTGTACAACTGAAACATACATTTTGTCACACCAGGAGAATAACTGAGTGGTAACATAAGTTCACTTTTCATACTGACATGCAGGAAATAAATACAGCTCCATGTTGCTCTAGTAACTATACTAAAAACAACTGATTTTCACAGTTCACAGTTACTTTCTTTATGCAATAACAAAAAGGAATCCTTTCACGCCCTAACTGCACAATAAGATCAAAAATTATATTAGACATGGATGAGAAGTAGAACCTTCTGGATGAATAGAATGTATACTGTGTGATGTGGTGGCGAAAATCATCCCCCCTTCAGTTCCAGTCATCAGGAGTGGAGAGAGGAATGATCTCATCACAACGGACATTTATGGCAATTGGATTCTATAAAATGTAATATAAACAGAAGTTGAAAATCATCCTCCTTCAGTTCCAGTCATCAGGAGAGGAGAGAGGAATGATCTCATCACAAGGGACATTTATGGCAATTGGATTCTATAAAATGTAATATAAACAAAAGTTGAAAATCATCCTCCTTCAGTTCCAGTCATCAGGAGAGGAGAGAGGAATGATCTCATCACAAGGGACATTTATGGCAATTGGATTCTATAAAATGTAATATAAACAAAAGTTGAAAATCATCCTCCTTCAGTTCCAGTCATCAGGAGAGGAGAGAGGAATGATCTCATCACAAGGGACATTTATGGCAATTGGATTCTATAAAATGTAATATAAACAAAAGTTGAAAATCATCCTCCTTCAGTTCCAGTCATCAGGAGAGGAGAGAGGAATGATCTCATCACAAGGGACATTTATGGCAATTGGATTCTATAAAATGTAATATAAACAAAAGTTGAAAATCATCCTCCTTCAGTTCCAGTCATCAGGAGAGGAGAGAGGAATGATCTCATCACAAGGGACATTTATGGCAATTGGATTCTATAAAATGTAATATAAACAAAAGTTGAAAATCATCCTCCTTCAGTTCCAGTCATCAGGAGAGGAGAGAGGAATGATCTCATCACAAGGGACATTTATGGCAATTGGATTCTATAAAATGTAATATAAACAAAAGTTGAAAATCATCCTCCTTCAGTTCCAGTCATCAGGAGAGGAGAGAGGAATGATCTCATCACAAGGGACATTTATGGCAATTGGATTCTATAAAATGTAATATAAACAAAAGTTGAAAATCATCCTCCTTCAGTTCCAGTCATCAGGAGAGGAGAGAGGAATGATCTCATCACAAGGGACATTTATGGCAATTGGATTCTATAAAATGTAATATAAACAAAAGTTGAAAATCATCCTCCTTCAGTTCCAGTCATCAGGAGAGGAGAGAGGAATGATCTCATCACAAGGGACATTTATGGCAATTGGATTCTATAAAATGTAATATAAACAAAAGTTGAAATTAACAGCTGTTCATTTTTCACGCAGTATTGGGCTAATAACATGCTTTAATAACAGACATTAAAGGGCCAAGTAAGGCACTCTTGCTAAAAGCTGGCAGGCTGAAGACATACCTAAGAGACTGGTGACTATGAGCACTGCTTGAGGGAAAACTACCATGATGTTCATCACTACTTTCCTCCTGAGACTGTGACTTGCCAATTTTGCCTTGTCGTTTCCCTACAACACCATAATATGCCATATTAATAAAATTTCACTGTAAAAAGTACTGAATCCAAGAAAGTTTGCTATACAGTTCATTGTACATACGTGGCGAATGGTCATCATGTTCGGAATCATGAGCTTCCATATTTTCGCGATTGCTCTCTCCACTGTCCTCCTTCTCTACCACTTTTCTAGCCAATTCCTGTAAATAAAATATTTATGAATAAATGCATTTTATTTATTTAAATAAATGTTTCTTACAAAAGGAAAACTACATACCAAATAAGAAATATGAATATGAAACTGACATAATTTATTGCACAATAAATTATGTGACCCTTAAATCCCAAAAGAGCTACACCATGATTCTGTAATAACAAAATAAACATAGTATGTGTGTGTGTCTGTGTGTGTGTGTGTGTAAAGGCTGCAAATTATAAAAGATATTCTTTCTTGGTTCTGGATGCAGGTATTAATTAGTCCAACAAGGTCACATGCTGCACAGACTGATAAACACAACTATAACAGCAATAATCACTCTAAAAGTTTGCTCAAGATAAATGCAAATAGAAGTGACCATTAAACTTTTTTAATACATTTTAAGTGAATACTGACTCCCACAATTGGCATCCTCCTACTAAATGAAAGGATGATGAGGCTTCAGAGGAATGGGGGAAGGAAGGGATGAAAAAGATCATGGGGTTCACAGGAACAGGCTTTAACGGCCTAACCCTGCAAAGTTCATGATGATGATGAGGAGGATGATGACAATGAAAAACAGTGCTTATGATGATGATGATGATGATGATGATAATACCAATAAACAGGGGGAAGGACCCCCCCCCACACACACACACACACACACACACAAGCATAAAAATGTAATCTGCAACTCTAGAAACTTGGCATCTAGGAACTACCCTAGTTATGAACATTTTCTGCTTTTGTTCCGAACAGATCAGAAGTTCTGTTTAGTTTTTATAACTGGCTTTGTACTCAAGTGTGTTGGTGTCTGGTCGCATTCTGCATGAAGTTAGTAAAGGGGCAAAAAATTTGTGTTCAGTTTTGTTTCAAAGCAAGGAAAACAGCTGCAGAAACCACAATATGTTTCTTGGACCTTATTGTGATGATGCCTCATGTCAAATGATGTCGTATGAATGGTCAAAACATTTAAAAAATGGAAGAACTTCAACGGATGACAATCAGTCTTGCTGAAATTCAACTTCAAGATCCAAACATCTGATTACCCAGGTGACAAAAATGATCCATGGAAATCGTCAACTGGCTTCCCAAGAAGTTGAAGAAGAGGCTGAAATATAAATTCATTCATGCCACACAATATTAACGAAAGATTTAGGAATGCACTGGGGTTTTGGTAAAATTTTGGCCAGGACTCTTGACTGCTGTTTTTCTTCAAAGAGTAAATGACGAAAATCTTTTGCAAAATGTCATTACTGGTGACAAGACATAGGTTTACGGTTGTGACACTGAGGCAAACAACAGTCCTCATACTGGAAGAGTCCTGCTTCACCTTGTCCTAAGAAAGCATGACAGAAGTGCTAGTAAGTGTAAGCAATGATGCCTGTTTTTTATTTCTATCACTGAGGCATTCTGCATTAAAAATTCGCTCCTGAAGGTCAGACAATTAATAAATAATTTCATCTGGTGGTTCTGAGATGTCTGCGGGATGGGGTACAAAGAAAATGACCTGAAATGTGAACTGTGGGAAACTGTCTCCTTGATGTGGGATCACAATAATGCAACTACTCACACAGTGCTGACAATTACACAATTCTTAGCAAAACATTCAATTCCCACCCTTTCACAACCCCTCCTCTTCACCAAACCTCTCCTGACTTTTTTAAATTCCCTAAACACAAAATTACCCTTAAAGGAAGTATATTTCAGACAGTAGAAGACTTCATCACTAATGCAACAAATGACTTGAAGACAATACCACAAACATCTTGCAAACAGTGCTTCCAAAAGCGGAAGAGGCGCATTATTGCACAAGGGGACTATTCTGAAGGGGGTAATGTAAAATAAGTTCTACATAAAGGAAAATATTATTTATAGACAAATTTGAGGAACTTTTTGAACACGCCTTGTATGTTCTTCCAAAATGTTGGTATGATCCACCAGAATACATGCCATCATATTCCAGAAGATAGTAATCTTCAATTACAAAATGATCCAAAATTTAACTAATAAGAGAGTGCTTCTGCATTTTGCATTAAACTACTTAAGTAACCAACCTGTGTGAAATATGGGCTCTAGTGAATTTTCAAATTTACCTGTAGTATATATTCAGCTTGGAGTGAAAAATGCATTTCCTTGTTGTTAAGCCAATGTAGGATGAAGTTCGGCTCCCGATCTGGGTCCCCAGTCACCAGGCTCGGAACAAGAGGAATGTCTGTAACAGTCAAGTGACTTATTATAATAGGGTGATAATATTAATGAGAATTCTGCAAGACTACAGAATTTGAATTTCAGATGTGATTATTTTAAGACATTTAGTACAATAAAGTCAGGTGGTATCTTAGAAATATAAATCAAGTCCCAACCACAAAGTAACTGCAAAACCCTAATTTAAATAGAGCAGTTCTGTAACACAAAAAAACAGTAAGGCTATCCCCGTTAACAGGCCATGAAGGCCCATAGGGTCGTGACACGCTGAGGGTTGGAAGGATTAGGTCAATTGAAAAAATCCAATGACCTCATCAGGACTTGAACCTGTGACCTTCCGGCTCGTAGCATAGTACCTCAACCAACTATGCTACCATGTGTCCCTCTGTAACACGTATGTTTCTCTTATCATGATCAATTTTCTGACTCTGGCCTTCCAGGAAAAGCCATCATATCACCTCCCTTCCTCCTTAACATTTCAAATTTAACAATTCATTAATTTTAAGAGCAATAATGAACTCAGAATTAAACAGAGCTGGAAAACTCAAAGCCTTACACAGTTAACTAGTTCACTCAGAAGAGGTTCAACATGAGTGGAATGTAATATATATATATATATTTTTCCAATATATCTTTCTGATCTGATATACTGTACTGACAATGTTCATTTATTGCATATATAATAAACCTTCTCTGATGACATAATTACTTTTCTTACATTTTGTTCATTGTAATTCATATGGTATATTTCATTCAGTCAACACAACGTGTAGATCATTTATTATATTAAAATAACAACTTACATATTTTATTGCAAGATGCATCATCAGACCTAACTACATCTGTAGAGGAGATGGTTTATGTGGCAAAACAATGAAATGGATCCAATAGGTAAATTCATTTTAACATGATAATGTAAGATGTAAACGATGTATGTCATATACTCCTTCAGCACATTTTGCATGCAGGCAGTTCGGTCTGATCATGATGACAAATTTGGTGTTAAAATATGAACCCATTTATACAGCATAGTAAATAAACTATATGTTAGGCTTGGTGAGTAAAATATATTATTATATTTCAGCATCCTGTTGGGTTGGGACACCATTTTAAATTGCAAAGTATTCCGCCTGTAATGCAACAAATTCCTTTCTTAAAAGACACTAAAATATATTTAATTCACGAACAAGTGTTTGTTAATGGTAAACATCTACCAGACTACATGGCATTACATCCAAGAAGATGCAGTATGGCTTCTGAGGTGAGAAGTGAACTTTTAAATCCAATTCCAATAAAGAGTTTCAAGCTTTAGAGGGTTAAGTGGCACACTGCATGGCCCCAAACAGATCTACAGTTAGATTTAGGGCACTCCCTTAGTGGGGGGTGGAGTCTAACTGGGTCCAATCAGCACGGCAGCCACTGATTGGCCGATTGTAGCCTGCCCCTGGTGATTATGATAATGGAGAATTTGGTGGAATGACGATTGGAAGTGGAAACTGAAGTACAGAGAAAACCTGGCCCAGCGCCACTTTGTCCACCACAAATCCCACTTGACCAAACCCAGTATCGAACAAGGGCCGCCGCGGTGGGAAGCCAGCAACTAACCACTTGAGCTATGGCACAGCCTAGATTTATGGGATAGTTCTTTGACCTGTAACTGTGAACACAAAATTTCCAATACAGTTAGGCTTTATGCTGGGCTAATGAATAAAAAAATAAAGTTCACCTGACAACTTTACATGTATGCTGTCAATACAAAATATCATCTCATTTTACCGACTGGTTTACAAGACTGAAATGTGAATAAGCATAGGACCTCTCTATAACACAAATTCGTGTAATCTGTGAAAAGAATGCAATAAAACTTTATTTAAACCTTCTCTCTGGACAGTCAGTTAACTGATCATAAACAATTCAAAAGAAAAGAACTGCACCAGATGCTATGCCAGAGGAATATATTTCCAATTACCCAAGCTCAATTTTATCTGGTCTGCAGCTTATCCATTCAGATGTGTTAATAAATTTACAGAGCACCTATTAAGTTTGCTCACTCTGTCCACCTGTACACATGGATGGATTTTCATGGAGAATTGGAGAATTTTATGAAAACTGTCAAGTCATTTCAATTTTAATTTAGGTGGGACAATTTCAACAACCACTTTACATGAGAACCTACATGCATTTCTGTGTATATCTCACTAAATATAACAAAAAATGTTTTGAAGAAAAACAGAGGAAAATGAAACATACCTTTTTCCTAAATACTGTGGCTTATGATATAATTAAACAAATTAAATGCTATGCACACATTAACACATTTCCATAAAATATACTGGACTATCAATGCTCTTCGCCGATCACAGTGGGTGCGCAGTCTAAGGCATGAATCATCTTCACCCACTCTAACACTGGGGTTGTGGGTTCGAATCCCACTCGAGACATGGATGTCTGTGTATGTTTATTATGTGTGCAGGCAGTGGCCTTGCAATAGGCTGATCCCACCTCCAAGGGTCCTACCAACTGTGAACAGGATTAAGCAACTGAAAAAGCGGTCAAGGTCGAAAGGGCTGTGAAGCCAGAGAGAGAAGAAAAAATCCATGCCTTTCAACCATTCATGTATGTATAAAGTTCCCGTGGGCTCAGCAATATTGCATGTTTGAATTACTGGCCAGGAAGTGTTATGATGTGTCAGTCTTCACTAGGAGATCAGAATAAACAGATACATTAATTCATTCCACTTAAATAGTTGCATATATAACCATTATTACAAAACAGAAGCTTATAGCTTACATTTAAAATTCATTATTTAAAAAATATTTGAGATTTAGGTTTTCAGTGGCAAAAATTTGGCTTGTCTGAGAGAGGAGGTTCCTTTGAAGCAGCTGTTACCCACTACAGACAGACAAAGTGTCATGGCCAGAAGATCACAAACAAAATCAGAAAGTTATTTACTCACTCCTAGAATCCTGTTCCATGCATTTGAAAATCTTGCTAGCCATAATCACTGAATGTGTTTCTTTTTTTTTTTACACAAAGGCAAAATGGAATATAATGCCATATAGTCCAATGAAAGTACAACAACATTTTGGTGAATCCATATTGAGGTCACAGAGTAAACCAAGGAAGAAAACAAGAAAAGTTCTGCTTGTTGCCAACTTCATGCTGGCAACATGCTCCTCTGAAACAGCTTTCACTGGACTACATGGCATTGTATCCTAGAAGAAAGGACTCTTCATAGCCACTCCTGTGAGAACCTCAAATCCAATGCATGTAAACAGAGCAGAATTTCCCATACAATTTCCTTACATGAAATAACATAAAGGGAGAAATACTCTAACTGCAAAGACTATCATGACCTTCTGCTTCCTGCTGCATAACAACTTGGTTGAAAATAGTTTGCACATGGCTGTTTATTTCTATACACAGCAGGAAAACTAAACAACTTTCTTACTGACTTTAGGCTTTGATGGCAGAAGTTTTCAGGTAAACTGCCCCTACTGGTACAGACAAGACATCAATCCCCACTCCATCCTTATACACACACAGAAACTCACCAACCTAAACATCTCAACCCTGAAAATGGAAGCAGCATGTACCTCTGAATAGCTGGCAACATGCCCACATCCTCATGATGGAACAACCCAAGAACAGAAACAACATCAATGTCACTCTCTGTTCTGCTGCAAAAAGGAAAGAGAGGAAAGAACTGGCAAGAAATCAAACTGTGAAGACTGTGCTAAGAAAGTACTAACTGGATCCCCTTCATCTGATGATCCATATAAAATGAAAACAACAGTAATATAAGTAGTTCAATTACAATTTTGTCCATATTTGCTTGAACTTTTATAAGAAACATACCATTGACACAAAGTTTTGATTCTGTCAAGATGAATCATACAATCATTCATCAATATTCACTTAATATGATAACGGAGTCCTTGGTCACTTGGTGCATTCTCTTACTGCAGATAGAGAAGCCAGCCTGCAGATATGAAGGGTAGCTCAGAATATGTTAAACAAGTTGTCGCAGACACTTGTGTGTGTGTGTGTGTGTGTGAGGGGGGGGAGAGACAAAAACTGTTACTGTAAAAATCTAGCATATTAAAAAATATCATGAAGGGCCTCCGTTTTGGAAACGTTCTTTGGCATGATCTAAGAAATCAGGAGATTTATAATTTCCTATTTTAAAAAGATATTAGAATGACAAAATCAATGGGAATAAGATGGGAAAGAAATGTGACCCACACAACAGAGACAAAAAAATGTAAGCTACAATTTTCTTGGAAAATCTTGATGAAAAGTGATCACCTGATAAACACAGACTGAAGAATATTAAAAATATATCTAAAAGAAACAGCACATAACGGTATGGCCAGAAAGGAATTGACTGGTTTAGGATTGGTTCCAGTGGAGGGCCCTCATGAATACGGCCTTGAATATCCGAAGAACTTCTTGACCAGCTTAATAACTTTCAGCTTCTCAAGGTCTCTTCTCCACAGAGTTAGTTACATTCACTTATCCATAAAACAAAATGGTATTTCCAGAATAACCTTTACATAACTCACCTGTCTCTGCATTGATGCTGGCAGCCAGATGGAAGTGGAGGCCTGGTGTGACGCCGGTTCCATGGTATCCATAGCTGTGGAAATCATGGACACTGTATGTGGAAGGAAGAGTAGGAATGGGAGAGCCAGTTCCAAGGAGATTATTACCTTGGTTCTGCTGATGTTTGGCGTGGCGACGGATGTGGAAACACGTTCTGGAATCCACCCAACACTTAGTTAGCAGACAGTGGACACACACAAGAGACGGCATACAACACAGTATTAATCAAATCACAAACATCCCCCTATTGCATGCAGTGTAGTAAAGTGACCTGCAACCTTCAACAGCACCTCTACACATTCCACCCATGAAAGGCACCAAACCTTGAGACAACATACCAAACTGTTCTACCTACTGACAGTTCATTTACAACTCAAGTTCACTTATGAATAAACTGCAATGTGATGAAACATATTTCAGATACACAGCCACAAATGCTACAGTTATATTTTAAAACAGATATATGTGCATAACTTCCTAGATTTACTACTACTACTTGATCAATTAATATATGCGCACTGTCTCCAAAAATTGGTATCCAAGTCCATTCACTGAACAATCCATATCCATATTCCAAGGTGTTACTGTTTCACAGTGACAGAAGCTATTTATACGTGGCATGAATATTTTTAAATCCTAAACAAAATATATTTATGTAACTATTGTATCACAGTATTTTATTCTGTTACATTTCTTTCTGTCAGCAAAATTTCTGTACAGATACACTAAACATTATCTACATGTTTCTGCTTTTCAGCCATCATCACATGCACTGTTGATTGTACTAATCACCACTTACAATGGCCAGAGTTTATAGTGTTTCGTGTTGCAGGTTTGATATACTGTGGTGTAATGCTACAATATATGTCCTTGTTAAAATGCTTAAGAATGTTAGACTGTTAACATTTTTAGAAAGCTGTTGAATTTGAGACTATCATATATATGAGATTTCACTTTCATGACAGTGACTATGAAGAATACTGTCTTCTGGGGATGTGGCAGTACAGTCTGGTGAATGATATACAGGGTGTCCCAGGAGGAATGTGCCAAACTTCGGGAGGGTGTTCCTTANGTTCACCAATGTTTTGGAGAAACCTGTTATCTTCTTTTTCAGAATAAGAGTAGGCCAAGGGTTGAAAAAAGTGGTGTGGATACAGGGAGAAGGGCAGTCAGTAGCCTTGTGTCACATCCCAGAAGACAGTTATCTTTACTTTCATATGTAAGTTTACATTTCACAGATGTCTGAAACTATATTAACACTGAAAAACATAAAGTCATCCCTGTGCTCAATTAATTAATCACCATGGCATGAAGACATATAAGGGAAGTGGAGGTATAGCTTCTCCATTCCTGACCTCGGCAATAGATCAAGGTGAGTAGTCAGCTTCATGCCCCAGTCGCTTCACCTGCAGTAGAAAAAGCCCCCAGTTCCCATTGAATAAGAGACTCAGTGAACCGCAGAGCTGGTCTACATGTTGTGAAGAACAGAAAACTCTCTTCCCTGCCAGGAATTGAACCCCGGCTGTCCAGCCCATAGCCTGCCTCTATGCTGACTGAGCAATCTCAGCTTATCACTGTGAATTTTTAAGTATATGTGTGAAACCAGGACTATCAGAACACCTGTCACACACCTCCAGGACTACATCTGTGAAAAATGTTAACAGCGTAACACTAAAAGCACACTCCATCTGAGGTTGTCACAGCAACAACAAAGAAGCACACTGTCTTCCGAGATGTAATACTATGCAGTCTGGCAGACATTCACTGACATTTTGGAGGATATACTGCTCCATCTTCAGGGTTGATGAGTAGGCCAAGGAAGCAACCACCAAGATGTACTGTTCATGTCAGTTTTCTTGAGCTCTCACTAACAGGGCTACAAGGAAAAGAGTAGCAGCTGCTAAGAAGTGGTATGCATGCTGCTCTGTATTACAGTTCAAAAGATAACATCCTATGGTAATGTGTAGTAGTCTGTAGAGAGAATGTAGCAATAATACACAGCAAAAAGTAAATATTTTCTGTCTGGTGCATACCTGCCACACCATACCAAGTTACTTGGCAGGCTATACTGAGCTCTTTTCCAGAGCAGAGCTGACACAAACAGTACTACTGCTTGTCTCGCTTACTCTTCAATTGTGGAGATGGCAGCAGTATACAGACCGCCATCTACCACACCACATGGTGTGACATAATAGAAGACAGAACACCTCAACTAAAAATTAATTCACTATTTGGCACCTGCACTGGAATGAATTCTAAACTACAGCAAGTTAATATAAACTTTCCACCTATGAATGGTAGCAATCCCTCTTAAAGGCAAAAGTACAAATTCATAGATCATTATACCAAGAGCTACCGTGGCCACAGTTCGTACATTCCACAGCATCTCAAAAACAGCTACTGCAATTTTAATTGTATCTATTTACTAAAACATCTGACCCACACCACAGTATGTGATGTCTCTGATCCAAGCAGCTGTGAGGTCTCTAATGGCAACATCATAAAACAGTGCTAATAAGATGGTCAACACATTAGAACACGGTGAGTTTTAATAAAAACGATTTTACCAGACTGTTGTGTTATCCAGCTTCAGTATGCATCTTAATTAAAATCTGAATGTACTGTCAAGCAGACTGAGTGTAGGAAAGTTGAGTCACATGACAGCATGTGCATGCTTCTCAAGGTCTCGCAACTTACAGAAACTCAGTTTGCCTCATCTCTCGCATTTGTACCGGACTATTCTACAAATATACAACTTGTCTAAAACCTTGGTGAGGAATGAAGAGGCAGTACAGCCAAGCTGAGGCTCAATATGAGCTAGCAGCAGTATACAGCATCTGTTTGTGGTGAGCCTGTGCAATGAAATGCACGTTTGTGAGTGCAACAACGTACAGTGAAACAGTGACAGACTGAGCCAGCCAACATGATGACCTTAACTGGCTAAAGACAAACTGCAAGACCCAAAGACACTACAAATGACTTGCATTTTGACGATGCATATACTGAAAATGTTTTCCACTGACAGAATAAGTTGGTTCAAGCAGTGATATTTCTGACTGGTATTCCGAAGATACGTGGTTGAAGTTTCAGCCAGACCACTAACTATCCTGACTGAGGTTTTCCATGGTTTTCCTCAGCCTCTTCAAGCAAATGCTGGGATGGTACCTTAAATTAGACCACAACCACTTCCTTCCATAGTCTTTCCAGTTTATTTCACTATCATCCTGCCATTTGATGTTATACCGACTGATCTATGGACAACATTATTAAATAAAACACACATGAATAAATCTTCTATTGACGCAGTCTCTTTAAGACTGCTTTGTTCAATGAACACCCAACACAATGATGATATCTGAAGATGGAGACAGCATATTCCTTTGAAACACCTATAATATGATATGGTGTCGTAACTCAGATCACAAAAACATGATGAGATTTCAGAATTTTTTGTAAATATATACAATTAAAAACTACAGAATCTTTCTAGAAAGACAAGGTACAAATAATATTTTGAAAGCAAATGACTGAATAAAATTGAGTACACATTGCAGTTTTATTTCCAAAATTAGTTTGTAGCCAACGTAATGTGACTGAAAAATCTCTCAGTGTTTTTTGCAAAAAAGATACACTAACTGGATTAAACACAGAGGTATAACCAATTTCTGATAATTATGGGTTCACTGAGAATTTGACAAACTGAAGTTCTCCTTAACCCTCTGCCACTATAACATGTTTCCAAAAGACTAATTAGTGTCAACATTTTTTATCTTATTTCACTTCACAGCAGCCACTTGTTTTCACTACAAAAAATGTTTGTGAACTGGAGTACCATATTTAAATGCAAAATAAGCATGGAATGAATAAAAGGCTGTTGGAGTTGTAATACTGACTTTGATAATACACAGAATTAAAATTAAACACTGTTAAATTTTAATTAGATTATGAAATGGAAAATAACCAACAAGGTAAGTAACTTTCATCCATAACGTTAATATAAAACTGGTAATTAATTATGAAAAAGGGAAAGCCATAATTAAGAACTGTCATATAAAAATGTTCACTTATATTGCACTGCACACAGTCACAATTAAATAATCATTAAAACATGCCATGCATCTTGTAAAAGCATCAGTCTGTCACAAATCTGTAGACACACCAGCAACAAAAAATATTCCTTTATAGTTTCTATTAATGCGTTGTTAATCATTAGCTCAAACCTCAATTCTTAAAAAGTTGAGAGAACATGTGAGAAATGAATGACCACTTGCTATGCTGAAGCAGCAAGAAAGACTGTAACGGAAGCAGACCTCCAGAAATACTTCATATTACAGATTTACTCAACAATATATATTACCAAGAATGAAGTTCTGGGCATGATAAAAATTTCTGGTATTCAATTTCTGCACACTTATTTTAGCAGATAATTTAATTTTCATACAGCGAAAGTTTGTATACTTTAATTTTTTAGGAGTTTGTAGGAAAATGCTTTAAATTACATGGAAATAGATAACACAATCAAAATTCATCATAATTCACAAATTACAAAATTTTCTATTTTCCATGCAAAGCACTGACAACTACAGAAAATGAAACTGAGCAAAATATTTTTGATATGGCTTTCAGTCTTAAATTTAATCAAGAACTATTCAGCCATAATGGTTCCTATTTGTTCCTATCTGCATATATTTGCAAAATTTACCTAACTGGTTTTTATTTCTGGTTCTCGTGTAGGATAACTGGCTGCAAAGCATGGCTACATTCCAGTGCAATACATGTTCTGTATGCTTAGACATTACCCCAGCAACACTGCAACGTGTGCACTCTAGCACACAGTCATACCTACATGTGTGAGCAACAAGATGGACACTAGTCTGAATGGTACAGTGAATGTACAGACCTTTACATTGTTCCATACACACGTGTGGTTTTGCAGACTTACAACATTTTGCCACAGTTAGCCACACTGCAATGTTACCTCTGTACAAGTACACTAAAACAAAACAGTGTCATTCACTACTCCTGGTCCATGCTGTAAGTGTTTCTGCTTCACTATCATTTCCCCCTATGGTGGATACATATCACTTTTCACATCACGCTGCCAACATTTTCTTAACTTCTCTTTATTAATATGTAAAGAGCGTAGCATTGTAA